GATGCCTGGCCCTGGCCTTGGGGCTGAGCGAGGGTCGTCCCACCAGAGTACCCCACCAAGCACAGCCAAGGGGGGGCACTCCAGGCCCCTGCTTTCCCCACCGAGTGGCCTCCCACGGCTCCCCTGTGCTCCCATGAGGGCACCTGGTCACTTCAGCCCTCCGGCTCTTGGTCCTGTGGCTCATGACCTCCCCTGGACCAGGCTTCCTGCCTGCTGGCTGAATGCCTCTGCCCGCTCCGCCTCCCATTCTCGTGGCCCTGGGCCAGGACCGGGTGTGTCACTGGCGGTCGGCAGGTGGTTTCCATTTATCAATGTCATCTAACGAGCACTCTGCTCTCTTCAGGGCATAGTGACAGGGACACACTTGCCCACAAGGGAGCTCACAGTCCAGAGAGCGCTGCAGACCAGGCACCTGGCACCTAGGACATGAGGGTCCGGTGCTGGTGCAGGGGACCTTACAGCTGGCAGGGAGCATAGACGCTGAGCCAGGCCAGGGTGGGGGTCCAAGGGCACCTACCCCGGGCAGGCTTCCTGGAGGAGGAGGCACGAGAGCTGAGCCCTGGAAGATGAGTAGTGTTCAGCCAGGCACAGGGGAGTAGGTGTGTTATTTAGGTCCCCGAAGGAAGCGAGGCATGGCTCCCTCTGTCCCGGGGACCCCGCGAGCACGTGCCGTGCGCTCCAGGTGGACAGCGGCGGACGAAATTTGAGCAGCCCTGCTGCGCACCCCTCGGCTGAGCACCCCCTTCCCGTCCCCACAGCTCTCCTACGTGGACGCCGAGGGCAGCCCAGTGGGTGTGGTGCAGATGACCTTCCTGCGCCTGCTGAGCGCCTCCGCCCGCCAGAACGTCACCTACAACTGCTACCAGTCTGTCGCCTGGCAGGACGCCACCACGGGCAGCTACGACAAGGCCATGCGCTTCCTGGGCTCCAACGACGAGGAGATGTCCCATGACAACTGTCCCTACATCCGCGCCCTGGTGGACGGCTGCGCGGTGAGTGTCACTATGTCTGCTCGTTCAGCCGACCAGGCTCACCAGGCAGTGCCGCCTGTGGCTGCCCTCAGCGCGTGGCTGACCCAGGCTGCCACACGTGGGTCAGGAGGGGAAGGCCGAGACCGGACAGGAGGAGCCAGGGTGCCTGGGTCCGTGGCCCCATCCCTGGTGTGATGTGGAGCCAAAGATGAGGGACTATCGTGGGTCCACTTCGGAATTGAGGCTCCTGTCCTTAGAAAGGTCTGTTCAGGGAACGGCCGGAGCTGAGGCTGGCCTTGCTCCTGGGAACACAGCTGTGCTGGGCAGCGGTCTGCCACTGAGAGCGACAGCCGTAACCACGGCTGCTGCCGTTACCAGCCCTGCGGTGGCCAGCCCCACGTCAGGCCATCTCCCTGGACTCCGAGCTGCCCACTGGAGAGGGCAGTCCTGCTCCCGGCCAGGCGTCACGGGCCTGAGAGGCAGGAGACTGGCTCAGGCCGCATGGCTGGTCAGGGCTGGGCTCGCACTTGTGCCTTGGTGCCTGGGCCCCCAGTCTGCTCACCGTCCTCTGGGCCCCCAGCCGAGAGTCATCCCCCTGGGCTGCATCTCCAGGGGTGAGCGGCCCCCAAGTCTGAGCTGTGTCTTTGTGTCCTGGAGGTCATTAGGCCAAAACCATGCACAAGGGGTAGGTAGTCCTGTCAAAACCCTCGGACATTGCCCTCAGGTGGCCTTTTAGAGGCTGGCGGTGGGGGCGCCAAGAAGCACTGCCTGTCACATCTTGTTTTTGGACCCCATTCTATTCACCATCTATTCTCCAGAGACCTGCCCACAGCCCCAGGCCAGCTCCCACGGGGACAGGCTGCTGTGGGCTCCACGCCTGCTCAGGGTCCAGGGCCAGCCCTGCACCCCTGGAGGCCCCTCTCTGTAGGTGCTGTGTTGGCCATCTCCTGGGTCCTGATGTCCTGGGCTGAGCTCCCGACTGTGCCAGGTCCAGGGCGTCCCGAGCACGCAGCCGCCTCCATGTGCACGAATGGCCAGGGTGCCACCTGGGTCTTTCCCCACGTGCTGGCGCTCCAAGGCGCGTGTGGGACGTGGGCTTTTCCCTTGTGACCGGTGAGGGGTCCAGCACTGTGTGGTCCTGGGGTGACGATGCCAGCAGGCTCGGTCGGGGGAGCGAGAGGCGGTGCTGAGCCCGGGGTAGGGCTATGGGGTGGCCGCCTCTCCAGAGCAGGGCTGTGCGGACCCAGGTCCCCACCTTGCCCCCACCCCACCCCCCGACTGGCCCTGGGAAGTTCCGTTCCTTCTCCCCAGAAAAGGGTCTGTTACAAACCAGGGGCTGCTTGGGGTGACCAGAGAGAGAGGGACCAGAACGGGGCGACCAGAGGGGGGTGGCCCGGGAGCCCCCCAACGCCGCCCACTGCTCCTGCCCGCAGGTGAGAAAGGGCTATCAGAAGACGGTGCTGGAGATCGACACGCCGAAGGTGGAGCAGGTGCCCGTGGTGGACATCATGTTCAGTGACTTCGGGGACGCGGCGCAGAAGTTCGGATTCGAAGTGGGGCCGGCTTGCTTCCTGGGCTAGGAGCCCGCGCCGGCCCCAGGCCAACCTCGTGACCTCAGCGCGCCGCCTGTGGGTGTCCTGGACAGTGGAGGCCCCTCGTCCCCCCGACCTCGTCTGCGCCCCGGCGCACCGCCG